TCTTAAACCTTCTTCAGTATAGGTAAGCCTTATAAGGCCGCGTTTTCGCCCTCATTCAGAGTCTGAAATGGTCAAAAAACAAAATCCTCCTCGTGCCAAAATCCAGGGGAATTCGAACGTGGACCAATGAAGCTATGGTTTTGCAGCTGCTGAATATCCTTCAAACCACATTTCCCCATTGGAAATCTCTGCCATTCCCCCATCATTGCAGTGAGTAATAATGAGCGCTGAATCGATTTTTTATGTTTTCTTTATTGCATCGGACTTTTGTGTTACATAGGGTGGTACCGTTTTACCTTCGTGAATAATAAGAAATAATAAAATTAAACCGAACCCGGAGTCACGATAAACAGGGTCCAGAGTTTATTAGCTCAAGACTTATCCAGCTTGACAAGGTAATTTCGGGTTGTTGGTCATGAATGTGGCTCGTTACACTGACGCGCAACTTTGAAATGTAGAGTAAAACGAAGGGTTTTGTCCACATTACCCTTGTCAGAGACATTTAGCAACTTATTTGACTTAAATGGTTTGAGATTTTTCATGGAACAATACTGTGAATCTGCTTAGTTCAGGTATTTTTCCTGCCTACAAACTATTAGGTTGTCTCATAAATAGTGTCGCTTTTTTTCAACCAAAAAATTTTCATCTAAATCCTCATGCTTTTACATCGATTCATATACCATTCGAAAGAGAATTGTCTGCTCTACAAAATATCGTGTTCTTCTTCCATCTATGTTCCATGGTTTTCAAATTTTAGGCCTGCGAAATGGGAGGTCCCGCCGACAAAAATTGACCAAACCGACAACTAGCTCTAACTTTATGTTCCCTTCGGAGAAATCAATCAATGATGTACCCTCTACTTACTCATGACCTCTTCTGAACATTCCACCCTTAGGTTGCCGAAAAAGGTTTGCCCTGTTTCTTTTCGAATTGGCCAACCGATAAGTCATGGCAATTTTCAAATTGAAATTCTTCCTCTGAAACGCTATTGTTTTATATCAACTGGTTATCTTTTGTGAGCACTTCTTCTTGCTTTATTCGCTCATTTGTTTTGTTTTGATGTTTGTTAGGAATTAGCTCGAATTTTAGGGTTTAGGAGTAAGGTGCTTTGTCCACAAAAGTGACCGCATTTCTTTGAAAGAAATTATCCTTGAGGAGATGAGAAAACCAACCAGGCGTACATTCCTAACTTAGTCATGACTTGTTCTTGAAATTCTACTAGTTTTTCAATGTCTCGGCTGTAAAAAAATTTCGACCTCGATCTCAGGTAATGGTGCTCAACCGTCGAGTTCTGGTTGAAAAACCGGGTCTGGAAATGGAATGATGCGACTTGTTGGGAAACCTAATAGTGTAATGTTTAGAAGAGGTCATGCATAAGTAGAGGGTACATCATTGATTGATTTCTCCGAAGGGAACATAAAGTTAGAGCTAGTTGTCGGTTTGGTCAATTTTTGTCGGCGGGACCTCCCATTTCGCATGCCTCAAATTTGAAAACCATTGAACATAGATGGAAGAAGAACACGATATTTTGTAGAGCAGACAATTCTCTTTTGAATGGTATATAACTCTCTGTAAAAGCATGGGGATTTAGATCAAAATTTTCTGGTTGAAAAAAAGCGACACTATTTATGAGACAACCTAATAATATGAACTAATCCTCCCTCCACTCACTGGCTTGTAGATGACTTGAAATTGGACCTCCTGTAACCAGAATGTGCCCAGAGACAAGAAATTATTTTGCTAATTTCTTCAATGTCTCATTCATCCAGGCAGGCCACATGGTTTGGACTGGATGGTGAAGGGTAACTTTGGTAAGTTCCATGAATCTATGAATTAGGAGAGTAAAGATGGGTCAGAATAGGTAACGACAACGGCCGACCATGAGCGCGAGTTTCCAGACAAAAAATAAATAAATAAATAAATGAAAGTAACAAATGGAAATAACAATCACCTGCATAAACCATGTACATAGTATTAGATAACTGTGAAAGGAATGCGAGCTCTGTCAAAAGGCAGACGAGCATCGTATATCGTCCCAGGACGACGAAGTCGTCGAAATGTTGTACAACCAAAGGTTGCTTGGCTGTTTCTGAGCCAACCATTTTACTACCTGAAGTGGGAATTTTAGCAAACATGTCAAAAGGAGAAAGAGCTTTGTATCCAGAAATAAAAGGCTATCTTGGTTTAGAGGGAAGCAGTTCCCGTAAAGAGCAGAATGGTGAATGTCGCACATGAGCAGTTGGAAAAGAAGGATCAGAGAACATCATTGAGAAGTGGAGAACAGTTGTATGATCTCAGAAAACAGTGCAAAGGTCGTTTAAATACTTCATGGTGACAAGAGAACACTTAGCTGTTAGCTGTGAAAAGGTCAGCTGTTCTGAACCGCCTTTCACAAGGGTTGGCTAGAATGTTTTTGTTTTCAATTGTGAGTAAGTACTGATTCAAAAGGGCGTCAACGAATCCTCCTATATGGCAGGATTAAAGTTCGGACGAAGACGACAATACCCTTGACAGAAGAAAGAACTGGGTAGGCCCAACAGAGGTAGGGGAGTAAGAGCGCTAAATGACTCACAATGACCAGTTAGCCTAAAGTTATGTTTGTGCAGCACTTAGCACATCCTACTCTTCGGTCCTGTACAACTCATTAACGGCACTCCTGGTGATGTCGTCTACCTGTGAATTGCTGTCGTGGACAAGAACTTGGCAATAATTACTGCACACTTATTGGAGAGACCTGAGTGCTGTAGGAGAAGTGACTTCTCCCGACTAAGAAAAGTGCATGGCGCATCCCAACCAGCCAACCCATTTCCCAACTGCCAGCTCCGAAGGTGAGGCTGGCATATTTCGACCGAGAAAACCTGCTTGCTCGGAGAGAAAGTGAATCCTACGAGTTATCTGAACAATGGGGGGGGCTGCACCATCTATTTCTGTCTACTGGGTAAAGATGAGTAGTAAAATGAGAATGAGTAGGTTGGTATTCACTTTATGAGCAACTAAGCGGGCCCCGCCAAAAAGCAGGACAAAGCTAAAGACTGTGAAGAAGATTCGCTTTATAAACAAATGAAATCAGATAATCACCTTTGAGAAGAAAAACAGTGTACAAACATGGACGAGAACAAAAATCAGAAGGTGCGGTATTAGGCTGCGACTTTGCTGTGAATTGGAAAGAGAAAAAAATTATTAAAAAATGGAATATTTCTACGTAATGCCATTTTTTGGCAGGGTGGAGTCCAGGGTTAACTGTCACGCTCGGCTGAATTCACAAATTTACGATACTCCTCTTAGGAGGCCTCGACACGACTCCCCCTCTGACTGTTGACCCTGGCTAGCCCTGATGCTACTCCCACCCCGAAAACATTTCGAACACATCCCGTCCGTTCGCTTTGATCCGAATGGACGGTGGTGCAGTCTCAGGGACGGAGACGTGCGTTTCTCCTCCTGGGGTCAGGTCACCACAGTTGCGCGATCATTGAAGCTTAAGGTTAAGTTTGGGTTTAGACTTAGGTTAAGGCTTATGCTTACACATTGGCTTATGCCTAAGCCTATGATTGGGCCTAGGCTTAGTCCTAAGCTTGCTCCGAGCGAATGAAGGCGTCTCAATTTTAGGTAACCTGACCCCCCAGATCAGCCAATTGCACTCTTCCATGCTTTGCGATATCGCGGACGGTGATTCTACTAGGAATTCTGAGGCAGGGATTAGAACGATTCAGTAATATTCCTAGTTTTAATTTCTTGTGAATTGAAAACCGTGTTGACCTAATCTCTCCTCAAATTGGTAACGACTTCAGGTATAAGTTGACTACAGCACACCTCATAAGGTGGGCTGACGTTAAGTCAAGATACCAACGACATTATGCAGCTTAAAGACATTAAACAGCCGAATCAGCTTGTAGGACAAGTGCTTTTATACAAAAGTCTGAGGGCAACGCAGCCCGCTATCCCGTTCACGTGACTGGCCTACCCAGCTGGTGCACTTTTGATCGGTGGTCAGAGGGAGGTTTACCAGAGCGCCACGAGCCCTTTATTATGTATAGAATTCCTCGAAGCTACAGATAGGAGCCAAATTATTCCTATCAGAAAGACTAAAAATTGTTTTGAGCTATTACAACCCCAGAGGGGGTGAGATGGATCAAAAAATTTTTTTTTTCGAAACTTGCGCTAGGGGGGTTATCGAGGCTCCTGATCACGAATATGACCTTAGTTTTTGGCGCTGGCGCCAAATTGGCGCCATTTGGCGCCAATTGGCGCCAAGGGTGTTTCACCAAATTCGCTGTAAACTTGTGGATAGGGGTTATCGAGGCTCCTGATCACGAATATGACCTTAGTTTTGGCTCAATTTCTCTAGGTGACGCTCGAAATAGATGTCATCTAGGCGCTCATCCAGTAAGGGGGGCATCAAGTGGCTGCCCTCACCCCCCCCCCCTAGACTGCCTACACTCCCCCTGGCACACAGGTTTCTCGAAGTACGGGACCCCGTGAGCCAGGGGGAGTGAAGCCAGTTCAGGGGGTGGGGGTGAGGGCAGCCACTTGATGCCCCCCCTTACTGGATGAGCGCCTAGATGACATCTATTTCGAGCGTCACCTAGAGAAATTGAGCCAAAACTAAGGTCATATTCGTGATCAGGAGCCTCGATAACCCCCTAGCGCAAGTTTCAGCGAAAAAAATTTTTTGATCCATCTCACCCCCTCTGGGGTTGTAATAGCTCAATAGTGCCAAAAACAAAATGTTTTAACTTCTTTCTTTAAATGTTTGCTCTGTGAAGTTATTTTTCAGGGTTTTGCTGCTTTCAAGCAATTAAAGGATAAACATCCTAGGGCGAACTGGTATAAGTGCCAAGTGGCACGCTCATCACGGTCCGGGGATCAAAATCCTGGGTCGTGAGTCGCCCGAGCCAACCAAGCCTTCCATCCCTCCGGGGTCGGTTCAATTGGTACCAGACTTGTCTGGGAGGATAAAAACACTGACTTGTACATCGGCTGGCCCCCGCAAGTCATTGTATAGGCCACATCGCATTCAAACGTCACTACGAATACAAATGGAAGTAGAATGCGTGTCGCATCCCAAAAAGGGGATTGATCTCAACGTGCAAACGATTTATTCATTTATTAAGCAACTAAGTGGATTCCTCCGCGAACATAAAAAAACTGAAATCAAGATAATCATCTCAAGATCTTTTGAAGAACGTGTAAAAACATGATGAAAAAACAAAAATTCAGACTGTACGGTATTTTAAATTAAAACTTCTTGGCTGATTTATGCCAATAGTAAGATGTGGTAATTGTCGCATGGGCGCATTTCGTGCCAGTGATAAGAGGTTTAAGGGTTATCAGTCAGTTGACAGGAGCAATCAGTGAGAAAAACGATGCTTTTATCCATGTGCTTTTCCCACCTACTGAGGAAGTGCTGCTACACTGTATTGTTCAAAAAGTCCCAAAAATGGAAAAAATTTCGAATGCGCCACGAATTCGTTTTCCTTCGTAACGTCGGTGAGGGTTGGAATGCACTCCAAAAATTGCTCTTCGCTCTTCACAATTGATCTATTCTGCAATTTCGACACCATGGGACTAATTCTGAAGTATGGATGGCCTGGATACTCCATACTAGACCCGATCGTGTCTTTTCCTAAGTAGAAATGGTTAGGGGCGCCACATCCCTGAATTGCATCTTTGCTGGGACCTTTAACCACTCTCGCTTTTTTCATTCAAATGGTTTCTAATGGAGAAAATTTGTTGCACCGGTAAGTCCAATTTGATGCTTCACCCTGGACACACCAGCGTGTCTTATGCAACTGAAAACTGTTAAACTCAATCTTGATTCTGCTTCGCCTTTGGGAATGCCGCCGAATCCAACTGGTGCTATAAATAGAGCTACGAGTTTCGATTGGTGATAAGATATTACATATTGCTCGCAGGGATAAATTGACCACCAGACTATGTTCTGAATAAAGTACATTCATGCTAAGGTGTCGCTGATGATGGTAAAACATGTTTGATAGACAGAGAGTCAACGGTTCGCTCGAATTTTCTCAGAGAGAAGGGTCTTATTTGTGGTTTTAACAGGGAGTGCGTAACTATGATTTTGGAGGTGAGTCGAGGTGGCGTTAAAGATGAAATTGATGGAGATATGAAGAATTTTTCAATCAGGAGGTATACCACAGGTATATACCACAGCACCAAGCCAAGTCCTGCCAGGATTGACCTTCTCGTTCGCAGATTTTTGAAATTTTACCGCCTCTCCCCCTCCCCAAGGGGCGACGGACTTTTGGCTCGTCCGGGCTGGCACGCGGCAAACCGCGGGGCTGCGCGGCGATTTGGACGAGAAAAATCTTCGCGGGTTCTTGCAGTGGAATTCAAAAGGTGTGAAGATCGCAGATAAAATCCGCAAAGTTCTACGACCCGATTACATTCGTGATGATTTGAGAACAGCTGTGATGGTAAGGGAACTCAGCAGGAAGATGTGAAAAACTAGTACAGTGCTGTTATAGCGATCAGTGATCATTCTTGTCATTGGGGGAGAAGGTGACATCAAGTGAGTGAGTCAATTACTGTGCTTAGCACTAAGCCTTAGAGAGTGGAAGGGATTTGGAAAGGACGTGAGCATTTGTGCTCTCCTCTTCTCGAGCTTATGCGTGTTAGAGTGTTACCTACCATCGGCTTTGTTGTTCCCTCAAGAACAAGAGCGTCGTGATCAGCAAAAGCATATGTAATCGACACTAAGTGACTATCTCAGCACTATTTATTTTAGTATTGCTTTTCCGTTTGATGGCGGCAGCAACATTTCCACAAAGGTTCTCTCTTTCGTTTCTTTGCGCTAAAATATCCCATCGACACCGCTGCAAAGTCTCCGCGCGAGGAAGGATTCTGCAGAATCATGGGAATGTATCCGATCTCGGCTACGCCTTGACGTGATTGGATTCTACTGCAGAACCCGCGAAGCCTTATCTCACGCGGTCGCCGCGCGGCTCGGACAGGCCAAAAGTCCCGCACCTCTCCGCCAAAGGGTCTCGGTATGACCTGCTGTTGTTGTAAGGACTGTGAATAAGTGCATAAACATTGGATGATCGAAGTTAGAGGTGTCCAAGAGATTGCGGTCACATCGCAGAGTTACCA